CAATTTCTACTATAAGAACTACAGCTTAATTCCGGCCAAGACTATATAGTAGGATGAAACGCTTTGAGCTTTTTATTCGATTTGTCGGCATATCGTTATTTGCAATCTTTACTCTTTCAGCAAGACGCCGTAGTTTTCTATCCATTATCAAACCATTTATCACCTTCTAGCTGTCGTAAAGGTTTTTATTTTGAATTGCTGCATCCAAAGTCCTACATTTCTTCTCATGTCGATACTCTCTAGGTAAGCACACCATGATGCGTAGAATTTCTGGACAAGATGTATACTGAGTTGACGCTAAGGCTAAAAAGGTTAAACGTTTGAAGCTCAGGGCAAAAAAACCTGTCTTCTCCTATCTACCTAAAGCGGGTATTGCGCTCTACTAGCTTCCATTTTTGGAACCTTTTGTTTCCGAACAGGTTGAACTGACAGCGGACGTAAAAAGAAAGATATTTTAGTTTATCTGACGACGGATCTAATAGAGACAAGTAGCAAAAGCAATCCGATACCTTTGTTCATTATATCGAATTACCGATTTCCCACAGTAGATATTTCAAGAAGAAACGAATATAGTGTATGTCGCAACAAAAAATTGTTACCGATAGCGGTAAGATCGAACCAGTTCCTATTTATTAAAAGCTACCTCGGAGAATATGTGCATTAGCGCTTTCAAAATGTAAACTCAATGAGAATTTGTACAAACATTTTATTCACTGGGAAACTCGCCAAGCGTATCCTAGTTTTGATGTTACAACTTGCACTTTCAAAGGCTAGGTGCCAGATAGTGCTCACATGCATTTTCTGGATCCATTCGTATTCGTTGATCGATAATCTAGATATTGCAACATTTAGTGAGCTTCTTTGATTGACGAATGATAGCTGGCAGATGACAGCCGTAGCTGGACAACTGCCTAGTACTTCTGCACCCATGAATGTGCCTCAACGGGTGGTTGGTAACGAACGTGATAAAACAGATCAAGATAAGGTTTCGTAAATGCCTATAATCATCGAGATCTTCATCAAAAGGCAAATAGTTGCTTATAAATGAAACTACCACTTTATCTGTTGCTCGCATATTCCTTCTTGTGACAAAATTTGAAAAAAAAAACCGGATCATGCCTCGTCAGTCGCTATTTAGCATCAACAGCATAAAGCATATTCCCTCAGCTACCCCTCTGACATTTGAAATTCTATGAAGTCATTGTATGTCAGATATATCTAGTTTCATTTTATTTACCATATTTGAAATCATAAGCCAAAATTGGGTAAAGCCAAATGGAAAGATATGAGGAAGAGCTGACAATTTGAACCTTATTCGTATTTGTTTGCTATTCTACAATTTTGTTTCCTTTGGTAGTCTTTAGTATTAGTTTGCTTTTCAAAAAAAAATTTTGTGACTTGTTTCTTGTATAGTAACTACGAATTCGGTCTCCTAGTCATTTCTTTTTCAAGGCAGAATTTACACCATGCAATGAAAGAAATCGAACTTTCACGTTCTATTCAATCAAGACCTGATTTTCATTTGCCTAACTACATCCGGAAT